CTTTTCCCCTTTTCCCCTTTTCCCCTTTTCCCCTTTTCCCCTTTTCCCCTTTTTTTCCCCTTTTCCCCTTTTCCCCTTTTCCCTTCCCTTCCCTTCCCTTCCCTTCCCTTCCCTTCCCTTCCCTTCCCTTCCCTTTTCCTAGAATCAATTGCATTTTCCAGTTTTCCTTGAAGAGGTCACATTTCCAAGCTGATGGATGGGGGGGATATACAGACTGGCAAAGTCTCCTCACCACATTGAGTCCTCACAACAGGATTTGTACCCCACTGCAGTTGTCCTCACACTCTTTGGATTCGCAGGCTCCCAGTCTATCCACAGTGGAAAAGCAGACTTCCCTGTGTTTTGTGGATCTCTGGATAAGTGCGGTGTATCCAAACACACCAGGGGACCCCCAGGAGAAAGGTGCTGCAGGGAACAGTCCTGGGGCAGTTTTGGGGGATGCTCCGCAGCTGCAGTCAGCAGCAGGAATGGATACTGAGCCAGAAATTCCTGGGTCTGGATTCTACCCAGGGACAAGAAATTAAGGTTGCCCTTTGAGTCGTGGCAAGGGGAAGGAAAGGATGCTTTCACAGAGATCTCACCTCCTGCCAGTGCCAGAGGAATGAGTTCCCAAACACTTCTGCCACTCCTGCTCCAAGTACCTGGCTGATGTTCCCACAGGAGCCTTTCCTTGTTGCCCACCTGGATGCTTTCTCCAGTCTTAACTGGAGAATGTTTCCCCCTTCCTGTGCAGCACGGAAAGCGACTGCTGGATTTTATAACTGGAGATGGTGCTCCTTCAGTTGCCCAGTGCAACACACGTCCAGAGTCATTTTCCAGGATGAAAAGTGCCACCACAATTCCACGTTCTCTCTTCGCATTTCCCTGTTCCGTGCAGTGCTCAACAGAGCACATCTGTACTTGCCGTTGTGTCGTCATGGACATTTCCAGTCTGGGATCCAGGAGCACAGGACCAGACATGCACAGCACGATTCTCCTGTTTGCTGCCGTAACAATTACGGTCTCTGCCCGAAACACTCCGTGACTCCTCAGCAAGGGGACGCCGAGTTGCTCAGCTGTGGGTTACTGCACTCTCAAAACAAGGCTGGAAAGGGCCCATCAGAGGTGGTGGTGCTGCTGCTGCTCTGCGTGTTGTTTCTCCCTCAGGCTGGAGAGGAGACAGCCTTCCACAGATGGGTGTACAGCCCTGGGGCCAGACTGAGCTGCAGTGGCTTTCCCTGGTCTTGGCAAGGGTGTAGCTGGGTCCCACAGCTGTGAGCTTGCTTGGGGTGTGTTTAAGGAGAGCAGGGCATGAGGAGAGGGCACTGCATGGGTGAGGATCAGCAGGTCATCTGAGATAACAGCAGCTACCTGGGTGAAATTTGTAGCAGAGCCTGATGAGGGAGAACATTTTCTCCCTGTGTTTTGCCCCGCACATGAGACCCTTAGAGAGGACTGTGAGATTCTCTGCTTCCCCTCAGTGGCCTTCCCTCAATGAAACATCTGTCAGTGTCTGGACAGGCTTCCTCGTGGTGCAGGTCTGTGGTAAAAGGTGAAGCATGGAGCCACTTCCCAAAAATTCATTGCCTTTCTCTAGGATGAATCCAGAAGGCTGTGTGGATAACCCTGAACACACGAGCCAACACCAACGGATGCACCACATCTGCAGAGACCCAGAACACTGGCACCCAGAGCCGTGACCTTCTCCCTGGGATATGAAGGTGAGGAAGGGGATCCTTCTTTGCACAGACCCACCTTGCCCATGCAGGGTCTGTGAGAGGACACACTGGTGAGCAGGGACCTTATTAGGTGTTCCTGATGGGATCAATGGGACTAGGATGAGTCTCACCTCTGGAGGACCTGACGCACAGCGTCCTGTCTTCAAATGTTGATTGTTTAAAAAGGATTTTGGAATCCAGACTTTGGCTCCAAAGTCACTTCGGTGGTGTTTAAAATGGCATCTTGTCTCCACCCCAGTGCTTTAGGGAGGTCGTTATCCCACCAGGGCACACTGTGCTTAGACAGTGAACAAATGCGGGGAATACCAAAAGGTCACTTGGAGTAAGTCTGGTCTGGGATACGGATCATCCAGCTCTGGTCCCTCCTGTGATGACCTTAGTTGCCTGCCATGCTGCCTCTCACAGCACAGAGAACATCTCAGAACACGGGAAACACAAGAGTGTTTGGAAGTTTGCTGTTGACTTCCCATGGCCAGACAAACCTCAGGCAACCTCTTTTTCCCCTTCCCAGCCCTCCATCACAAATCTGCACACCTCCTCATGGCCTGCATTCAACCAGAGCCTCCCTCCAGCTCCTGATGGAAGGTGGCTGCTGTTGGAGCACTTGGCCTCACTGTGTTCAATAACAACATCAGAAAAACACATTAAAAAATGAAAACGTGAGCCCTTGTCTGAAAAAAGAAAGGCTCCTGTCATGGAAAGCTTTGCAGTCCATGGGCATTTCTGTATTCAAGTTTTCGGCTTGACAATTTATTCCAAGTAACAAAGGCTCAAGTCTCTCCTGATAATTCCTTCTGGTCAGGGAATAGGCATCTGCTCCCTCTGATTGCGGGTCTCTTCTCTCATGCAAAGCTTGATTGAGGTGTGCATGTCAAGGTCAGAAATGGGGCTGAGCATGTATTGTTCACCTGAAAAAACCCACCAAGCAGCAGAAAAAGAGACAATAATATGCCTTTAAAACAGACAGGGTAATACTCTTTTTGTTGTGAGTGATTCTGATGTAAAGAAGAGTCAACTGTAGCATTCAAATGCCTTAATTGCTCATTAGTCATTAGGTTGATATATTTTTGCTGGAAGGAGATGGAGATACTTGTATGGAAAGTGGCCTATTTGAAAGGAGGAGAAGATTAAAGGGGAGGGAAGAGGAGGGTGAATACAGTATGATTGGAGCATAAAAAGAGATCCTTCCACCCAAAATAAAGCACCCCAATTATCAACAGGCTGGTCGAGAACAGCTTTGCACAAACATCAAAATACTTGGAGGTGACATGGCAGTGAGTTGTTTTTGCTTCTGAGGCTGTAAACCTGAAGATTCACCACCTGCCTTGGGAATTGTTGATGTGTTTCCTAGGCAGAGCCTTTTCTTCCCTGCTTTTGGGCTTTCACCCCTGCAAGCTGTTTGCTCCCCAGCCGTCCCCAACGACAAGCGTCCCCCCGGGAAAGCACACGCCAGGCTTTCCGTGTCAAATCAGCGGGAAAGCTCTCGGGGAAACAATTTCCTCCGTGACATTTGTAAAGGGAAATTCTGCCCCGAAGGAAGCGGTGGCAGGGTGAGCTCCCGCCCGGCCCCGTGTGCAGCGAGCCGTGGAAATTGCTGGACATGGCGGGCAGGCCCAACCCAGCCCTGCCAGAGAGGGGGAAAGGGCATTTCTGAAATGCTGCTCCTCTCTTTTAAACACGCTTTCCTTCTTTTTCTCACACGAAACGATGTCTCTGATGGACTCCAAGCAGAGCGTGGGCTGAACTCCATCCTCTTTCATCTGGATCCTGGAGGCATTCCCACCCCCGCTCCCTCCACCTCCACACCCCCTGTCCCTGCCAAGCGCACCGGGAAGATGCTCCTGTCTGGAGCACAACAGCACCCACCCTGGAGCAAGCTGGGGTGCTTGAGAGACTGCTGATGAGTTGCCTTCCCTCTCATTCCCACCCAGGACCTGAGGCTCCATCTCCTTTTCCCAGCTGAGTGGAGATTCAAGAGGAAGAATAGGCCAGATTCCCACTGGTCTCTCCCATGCACCTGGAGCTGCTCCGGCGGTTCAGGGCAATCCCCAATATCAATATGAGCTGGGGATGAAGGGATTGAGAGCAGCCCTGGGGAGAAGGGTTTGGGGGTGCTGGTGGGGGAGAGGCTGGACATGCCCCAGCCCAGAAACCCCTCATGCCCTGGGCTGGTCCCACAGTGTGGGCAGCAGGGCAGGGGGGATTCTGCCCCTCTGCCCCCTCAGCTGAGACCCCCCTGCAGAGCTGCTCCAGCCCTGGGGAACAACAGCACAGGAACGTGGAGCTGCTGGAGAGAGTCCAGAGGAGGCCACAGAGATGCTCTGAGGGCTGGAGCCCCTCTGCTCTGGAGCCATGCTGGGAGAGCTGGGGGGGTTCACCTGGAGAAGAGAAGGCTCCAGGGAGACCTGAGAGCCCCTTGCAGGGCCTAAAGGGGCTCCAGGAGAGCTGGAGAGGGACTGGGGACAAGGGATGGAGGGACAGGACAAGAGGGAATGGCTTCCCAGTGCCAGAGGGCAGGGATAGATGGGATATTGGCTGTGAGGGTGGGGGGGGCCCTGACACAGGTTGCCCAGAGAAGCTGTGGCTGCCCCTGGATCCCTGGAAGTGTCCAAGGCCAGGTTGGAAGGGGCTTAGAGCAACCTGGGCTAGTGGAAGGTGTCCCTGCCCATGAGAGGGGGTGGAACAACATGATGTTTAAGGTGCCTTCCAACCCAAACCATTCCATGACTCTGTGCTGATGGTGGCCATGTGTGCCTGACCCACAGGTGTCTGAGGGCAGAGGGAACAAGTCCCAGCCTGCACGCCCCAGCGAGCAGGCAGAAATAACATGGCCTGTGGGAATAAATTGCCTCAGCCCGGGGGATGACCACATGTGTGGTGGTGTCACCCCAAGGCCTGGTCCAGCTGCAAGCCCAGGCTGGCTCTGGCTAACAGGCTGTGAGCGGGTGTGCCTGCCCTGGCCAGGGCCCCTCGGTGTGAGATCACACGGGTGATCTCCCACACTGCCCAACTCCGAGTGCCTCCACCATCCAGGTTATGGCCTAATGGCTCATGAGTGAAAGCACCACGGAGGGAACGTAAAGCACAAGAATTCCTGAGGCTCTCCTGAGCCAAATCTACATAGCTCACTCCTGGAATGACTTCAGAAGGAAACTCCTTCAGGTCCAACCCTTGGCACTGGGGTTCACCAGAAAGAGAAGCTGTGGCTGCCCCATCCCTGGAAGTGTCCAAGGCCAGGTTGGATGGCACTTGGAGCAACCTGGTCCAGTGGAAGGTGTCCCTGCCCATGGCAGGGGATAAAACCAGATGGTCTTTAAGGTCCCTCCCAACCCAAAACAGTCTGTGATTCAGTCTCTGTTGAGGCTTTTAGTCCCCAGACTGTCTTAAGGGTGAAGAAAATGCTTGTGACAGTTGGTTTTCCATGTCCTGGATGCTGTTGCTGCTGCTGCTGCTGCTGGGATTCTGCAGATGTGAGAAAGGAGAAAACTCCTTGTCAGATTATGTCATCCCAGCTTTGGGGCAGTGGCCAGCTGGAGAGGCAGGTGAAAGGTTCTCTCCCATCAAATGGGATAAAGTATTTCCAGCATGGATAAAATATTTAATACACAGCTGGAGGACCTCAGCCACGGTGGATTCCATAAATTTTTAATCAAAGGGACATGTTTTGCCATGCAGTGGGGTGGGGAGATGCTGCCCTGCATCAACATCCGTGGGGATCATCCCGGGAAGCAGAGGGACCCTGGAGCATTGCTGGGATGCAGAGCTGCCACTGCCGCTCGTCCCAGGGGTCGTATCTCCTGCTGCTTTGATCTCCCTCTGACCTTTGCTGGGAAAGCTGATCCCATCGATTTTATGTGGATTATCATTTTCCGTAGATTGCCCTGAAACCTGCTAATTGTGCACAGGGCTATTTATGGCACCTCCAGGCGGGAGTCAGAGGTTCCTGGTGGTGTGAGGGGTTATCTGCACGCGCAGCCACGGCGCTCACAGGGCTCTATTTCCTTTCAAGTGACAGGAGAAGCATTTCAAAGGAGAAATTTTCTACCCTGTTTGAAAGGTCTCTGAGATTTTTCACCTCCTTTCAAAAGAAAAGACCTCATTTTCTGCTGATTTTTCTGAAATTTCTTACTGTATGTTTGTGGAGCAGGCAGGACTGAAGGATAATTTGAGGTCAGACCTGCTCCTGGCCAGGGTTCAAGGCCCACGTGTTCTGCCTCTCCCTTCATCACGGGCAGCTGGAGAAAGGTGTCAGGTCTCAAAGAGCAGCTTTAGCAGCTGGCCCATGATACATCCCTGCGTTCTGCTGTGTCACTGACTCTCCACCATCCTGCATCTCCACCCCAGCTTTGGGACATCCCTGTCTGTAGCAGGTCCAGATGGTAAAGCAGTGGAGGTCAGTGGAGGCAGCACTGTAGCCTCAGTTAATTCTGTTATATGGTGATAGCCACACCATCTCTGCTGGCTCCCAGCAGTGTGGCTGAAATTTAGGTGCTAAACCAACCAGTTAAAGCTGCATCTTCTGCTAAAAAAAGCATTTATGCCTCTACACTTGTTCCTTGCTTGTCCTGTGTGGGGTCTGTCTGTCTCCTTTGCCTTTGCTGAGAGAGGAAGCCAGTAATTTTAGCTTCACTGAAAAGTAAAAATCAGGGTTTACTAGAGCTATTGCTACAGGATTCTCATCTCCCCACTCTGGCCCTGGATGCCTCTGAGCTATTTATTACTTTCCTGGCTCTTTTTCTTCCTTTCCTCCTGATGAAATGAAAAGGGAGCATCACTTGACGGATTCAGTCTAGCCTTGAACTCTGCCGTGTCAGGAAACATTGTTCCAGCAGCATCAATCCGTGGTGCTGAGCCCTCTCCACAGCCAGCCCGAGCTGCTGCTCCAGCCGTGGAGCTTTGCAGAACAAGCTCCTTCCTCATCACAGCTGCAGCCCACTGACTTCTGCAGTGAAAAGAGGGATTTATTTCTTCTTTTCCATGCATTGTGTTAAGTGTTTGCTCGCAACAGCCTGGAGCAGTCATTCAGAATATTTTAAGAGTGTCTTTCATACTGTCTGAAATACCTGGCAGTGCACAAAGGGCCCAAAGTGGGAGTAATTGACTGCAGGATTATTCTCTGCTGCCTGAAATAAAAGTACAGTGTCTGTGAGTGTGACAGGGAGTCGGATCCACGCCGGAAGGTTGGTTGAGTCTTTTGGTGCAATTAGACACCATTATCCAGGTGCCACTTCAACAAATCCCACGGGGACTCAGAAATCACGGGCTAGAAGACAATAACCAAGGTCCTGGAGACTGGCAGCTTTGGAGTGTTTGTCCTCAGGCAGTGACTCTTGGAGATGGATCTTGATGGGGAAAACCTCCTGAGATTGTGTCAGAGGAGTTCCCATGAACTTCAAAAGGCTGGTGGGACAGGTCCTGCTGTGCCGCTCCGGTGGCTGCTTGCATTTCATCACCAACATCCTTTTGAACAGTGTAGAGTCACTTGAGATCTTTCTGATTCCTGGAAGATGGATCCCAGAGCCCTAGTGGTGGGCCAGACCATGTCTGTATTTTGAGGGTGTTCAAACCAGCTTCTGAAACACTCAGCAGATGTTTTACAGGACTTTTTCT